TTTGTGAAGGGATAGCAAGATTATCTCTGTGCCAATAGTCTGGTCAGTATTTCAGACATGGGATAAATGATTTAACTCTTTAGACCCTGATTTTCTCAAATAATGATAATAATGGTACTCTGTGGAGCTCTGGTGGCTTTAGTGGTGCGGGTCTGAGCTTCCAACACAAAGGTATGCAGTTCAAATCAATCTACCAGCTGTTCTGTGAGAGAAAGACAAGCAATCTCCTCTGGTGCAATTTACTGCCTCTGAAAACTGACTCGATGGCACAGAACAATGCTTCATAGATACTCTCCATTGAGTTTCCCAGATGTAAATGTTTAGATGAAGATACCACCTTGCCTTTCTCCAGTGAGTGGCTGGTGGATTTGGGCTATTGACTTTTTGGCTAGCAGTCTGTTGTGTTGGAACTGACTCAATGACTATAGGGAGAAGTTACTCTTCATTCAAGGAACCCTAGCGGCTTAAGCACTGTATTGAAAGATAAGCTGTTCAAATCTACTGGTTATTGTTGTTGTGTACCATCAAGTAGGAACCGACCCATAACTAACCCTTGGTGTGTTTTCAGAGGCTGTTAATCACACAGGAGGAGGATGCCTATCCTTCTCCTGCCGAGCAGCTGGTGGATTTGAACCATGTGCCTTAGGGGTTGCAGTGCAGCTTTTGCCAGTAGAACACCAGAGCTCACTAGTCTCTCCGAAAGAGGAAGATGAAGCAGTCTGCCTCTGCAAAGGTCCACTGCCTCAGAAAGCTCTGTGGGCAGTTCTGCTCCATCCTATGGTACTTCTGTATTTGGAATTAACTGGATGAGAGTAGGTGTGGTTTTTGTTTCTGTTCCCTACCCTCTCTTATAGGTACAGATGATCTGAGTAAGGTAAGAATGTGGATCTCACTATCTGGTATAGAGTAAGCACGGATGCATGTTAATGATTATTGTTACTAGTATTTGCCTACTTTCCATCTAAACCAAAGATTTTCAGTAATGTCTAGATATTCACAACATTTAGAAAGGGTGCTTTCTCTTTAAGGGGAGAAGGAGACATGTTGAGGAGTGATAACTTGAGAGTTTAAATTCTGTGTATTCTTCAATCCTCTCTTCTGATAGTAACCCTTCTCCAGGGATTCTCTCCAATTCCCAGTTTCCCATAGCAGGTATATTTTGCCTATACAGTACATTTCTCCAACTCATTACATTCTGCCTTAAATTTTGTTTTACTCCTCTCATTTACACAAACACCATCTCTCAAGCCAGACCATCAATTTCTCCTGAGTTCAGTTCATGTTATACACTCTCCCTGTTTCTCAGAGCTTGACACATAGTAGATACAGGGTAGATAAACAAAAGGAAGAGCAAGCAAGTATATAGATCACGAGCCATTGCTTACTTCTTCTTCCCTCTCCTAATGATGATGATGAAAACAATCACAATCAATGGAACAATAAAAGCTTCTGGATACTGAGTGCTTGCTGTGAAGGGAACTCTTTGAAACCTGTCTTTATCCTTAACAACTTCATATGAGCATATGTGCACTAGGTGGCTGCTGGGAGAATTGCAAATAAGAGACCATAGGATACTTTGCAAGCTCCTGATCATTCCCTGATTGTATAGTGGTTAAAAGCTTGACTTAACTTAAAGGCTGGCACATAGAACCCACCAGTCACATCTTGGGAGAAAGACAGTGTGGTCTGCTTCTATAAAGATTACAGGCTTGGAAACTGCATGGGGCAGTTATATGGCATTAATTATAGTTCTAAATTCTTATAGCACTCTTCCCAATTCTTCCCTGTAATTCTTGTTTCCGTTCGTCTTTCTGTCATATCCATTCTTATCTTCTGAGCTTTCTTTCTTGGAAAATAATACAGTTTAGGTCTTGGATGATAGCTGCTCTAGGGAGTAAATAACTGGTATTATGGTTCACTTTATAAGCTTGTCTAATGTTTGATTGAAACTTAAACCCAAGTTCTAATAAAACTACTTCCAGGCTCAAAGGGGGACTAAGCACCATGAACTCAGGGTTTTTACCAGTCTCTGATAATGTTTGTGATTTTGAGGTTCCCCTCCCCCTCAAGTTTCTCTTGTTTTGTCCAAGACCCTCTACTGTCATTACTTTTAGAGTGGTGGGTAGCTGTAGCCAGGCACCACCTAGTTCTTCTGGTCTCTGGGTAGTGAAATTCAGAAGGTCATGAAGTTCATTGGTCCTTTGGATTGTTTCTGTATATAATTGACTTTTCTTTTTTCCTCTTCTCTGTTATGGGCAGAGAGATTAGTAGCTGCACCTTTGATGGCCTTTGGTAACGTTTGTAAGATCTCAGACACTACTCAGCAAAGTGGATGTGGACTATGCTATCCTAGTTGATCTTGATGTCGCCTCCAAATATAGTTCTGAGGCACTAGAACTAGCAGCTTATTTTCTCAAGGTGTTTGGTTATGATTAGAAAGTTTACATAATTGTGCTGCCTGTGGGCTCAACCATATATAGGGATATATTTATAGTAGATAAAGTATGTATGTAGAGCTATCATCTGACAAACCTTCATACGGTAACAAGTCCCTTTTAACCATCCATATCTGTTCATTATGCTTGTGTGCCTACATATCCGCTTGTAGATGAGAGTTTGTTGTTAGAGTGCAAGGTTATGCATGGAATAATATTTACCTGTGATGTCTGTATCTCTTGTGCACCAGGGGTCTCTGATAGGTTCCTCTAAAGACAAACTTTTTATGACCAAAGCCCACACTTAAAAACATATATCACTTTATCACTTTTCAAATAACACACACACACACACACACACACACACACACAGAGATAGAGAGAGATATGCATATACACACAAACATCCATGTATGCAGGCATATTAAAGACTTTGGTGAAGCAATGTTTATGTCTGTGCGTACACGTGGGTGTGTGCATGTGCGTACGCGTGGGTAAGGTTCCCTAATGTGTGTTTTTTCTATTTTATTCTTCCATAAAAATATAATGACTATGAGGATATGTAGAAATTGGAACCCTTATGTATTGCTAGTGGGAATGACAAAAAGTACAATTATTTTAGCAAATAATTTGACAATTCTGCAAAACGTTAAAAATAGAGCTATTCTACAACCTAAAAATCCCTAGGTACATATTCAAGGAAAAAAAAACCTGAAGTATACAGCCAAGAAAAATGATGCACATAGCCATGTAAAAACTTGTACACAGAAACATTATTCAAAATTCACCAAAATGTGGAAGCAACCCAAATGCCTATCAGCTGATGAATGGATAAACCATATGTCCTATACTCAAATTCTGGAATATTATTTGGTGATGAAAAGGGATGATGCTCTATAAATGCATGAATTTTGAAAACATTATACTAAGTGAAAAAGTTTAGTCACAAATGATCACATATTATATGATTCTACTTATATTAAATGTCCAGAAGAGTCAACCTACAGGGATAGAAAGTATATTTAAGGTTGCCTAGGGCTGAGGGGTGGGCAGGAGGCACTGGTGGCCTAGTGGTAAGGAGTTGCACTGTCAATCCAAAGGTATTGTGATTTGAATCCAGAAGTTGCTCCATGGAAGAAAGCTGTGCAATCCCCTCTTGGGTGATTTATTCTCTCTGAAAATCTATTGGAGGGTCAGCTATAAGTCAACCTTAGTTGTCTGTTTCTGACTAGACAGCACATAACAACAGGGCTAGAGGGAATGGAAAATAGGTATGGGCTTTCTTTTTGGGGTGAAGAAAATGTTTACATCTAGACTGTGGAAATGGTTGCATAACTGCAAATACACAACAGAACCATTGGATTGCACACTAAAACCCAGAACTGCATGGTATGGTATGAAAATGAAATCTCAATAAAAGTTTTACAAATAATGCAACAGGGTTGCAAATTACTGTCTCAGAGAACTTCATCAACTCCCTTCTCTTGTCTGTTCTCTCCATGAGAACCATGCTTTACCTGGGAAGTTTGGAAGACTGCAGTCCTTGAGTGGGAAGACAGACAGACAGATGAGAAGGGGTTAAAGGTGTGGACAGAGGACTGAAAGCCATCTGTGGATATATATAATAATAATAATGGATATGATAATATCCATTATTCTTCACTAGTTGAGAAATCTTGGTTTCATTTATATCAGCAATGTGCCCAGCTAAAGGCTGCATTTCTTACCCCTACCAGCTAGAGGAAGAAGCACTGATGGCTGAGTGGTAAGGAGTTGTGCTGCCAACTAAAAGGCACACAGTTCCAAACCACTGGCTGCTCCACAAGAGAAAGATGGGCAATCTCTTCCCATGTGATTTACTGCCTCTGAAAACACACTGGAGGGTCAACTACGTGTTGGTTCGATTCAATGGTACTTAACAAGCAGCACCTGCTAGAGGCAGACACTGAGCTTTTGGGTGAGATTTCTGGGAGAGCTCAGTTAACAGGCTGACTGGCCAGAGTGAGTGCCTCAGGTGTATTTTTGGCTTTTTCCTTCTTCCTGCCTCTAATTCAAGCTTGGGATCCTGGGAATGAAAGTAAGCATTGGGGTGCTGGGTCCCTGAGGCTTGGGATACCTACCTGTGCACTTCTTCTATGAGACAGAATAAATCCCATTGATTAAACTACTAAATTGGCTCTCTAATAATAGTGGCCCAAAGAATTTCTAGAAGCTATCCCCAAACCCACTGTTGAGTCGATTGCAACTCAAGATAACCTCATGTGTTATACAGAACTATGCCATGGAACTTTCTTGGCTGTAATTTTTCAGAATCTGATTGCCAGGACTTTCTTCCACAGTACCACAAGGTGAGTATCAACACTCAAACTTTAGCAGCTGCATATGAACCATGAACATGATTGCAGGCCCTTCTAAAAGGGAATCATCAAAAAGAAGAAAAATGCTCTTCTTTTGATTTGAGGATGTTCATTTCAAGAAATAGCAGCAACTCCCCCCAGATCATTCTAGCTCCCTCATCTTTAGGAAGAACTTCTCCTGGGCCCCAACTCCACAGAGACGTGTTACCTTGTGATCTTAAATATCCTCAGTAGTCGGACACATCTCAGCACAGAGATGCCCAAAGGGGACATGATCTTGGTCTCCACCAGGATGGTCTCCAGGATGCCCCCGCACACGATGAAGCAGTCGAAGCGGTTGAAGAGGGACACAAAATAGGCCTGCAGACCCAGGCTGTACATCTTGAGCAGCATCTCAGCTGTGAAAAGGGCCAGCAGTGCCTTATTGGCAGTATCTGGCAGGTCCAGAAGAGAAGGTGGGACCCAAGTCAGGGTAGGAGAGGAATGCAAAGAGAGGAGGGGGAGGAGAAAGCAAGCACAAATAATTATCACCATCTGAGGCAAGGAAAAATGATTCCACCCTAAACCCAATAAGCAGTCCTCCCACCCAGGACATCTTTCCCATTCACCCCTAGGCCTAGCTAAGGCTCTGATGATAAGATTATAACGTCTATAACAATAATCGTAAGTCACATTAACTAGTAACCAATTGCCACTGAGTTGTCTTTGACTCGTAGCAACTCTGTGTGAGAGAGTAGAACCGTGCACCATAGATTTCCAACGGCTGTTATTTCAGAAGAAGATTGCCAGGCCTTTCTTCCAAGGTGCCACTTGTTACTGTCAGGTGCTGTCGAGTCAGCTACGACCCACACCAACCCTATGAACAACAGATCTGAACCCTGCCTCATCCTGTGCCATCTTCACAATCTCCTGCATGTTGGAGACCACTGGTGCAGTCACTGAGTGCCAATCCACCTCGTTAAAGGTCTTCATCTCTTTCCTAGCATGATGTCTCTGTCCAAGGACTGGCTCCAGGAATCAAGATTCCTCAAGTGAAGGAGAAGGAGCCACTGAGTGGTGTCAACCCCCTGACCTCTCTGCCATCAAGGGTAACAAGGTCCTTCTAAAGTCTTGCCTTCTTGACTCCAAGCACAATTTTGGTGAAGATGCAATATTATTATCATGCCTGTTTTTCAGAGCTGAGGAATCAAATTCAGAGAGATTACTAATCTACCTTAATCCATCAGACACAAGTGAAAGCCAGGCTCTCTGAGTTAGATTTCTTCCCTACTGGACCCAATGTGCTCCCAGGATGATGGAACACAGCCTGAAGCCAGGGCCATGTTGTCTCCACTTCCAGGAGATACTAAGACATAAACTAGTGAGTTCCTCTTCTTGAGGTTCAGGGAAAAGTGAAAGACCCTAACTACCCCCTCCCCCGACCCCAGGATAGTTCCTTGTGCACAGGCTGCTGTTTTTTACTCTTATTTGTCTGTCAGTGTACCTCATGCTCAGATGCTCTGGAAAAGCCCACCGAAGGTACTTAAAATTCATTCTGTGATGTCAGCAGTCAGGGGAGAGATAGACTGTGGCTCATGTCCTGGTCACCTGGACACATGGGGACACTAGGGCAGGCAGATTGTGTGTGCCAAGCCAGGTGAGCCAAGTCTGTTCACAACACGGTTACACATGCTGGAGGGCCCGAGAGCAGCGAGACCCTTGTTGTGCCCAGCACAGCTCCTGCCAAGAGCCATGGCTGTCGGCCACTCCCTTGTCCACTTCTGCCTACGGTTATCCCCTTCCTGGGGTTCAGGGATGACTTCGTGAGAACAAAATAGGACAGAGCCCGGGGTCGACTCTCACCTTGGACTTCCGTGAGCCAGTGGGGCTGGTTATAATGCTCTGAAGCAATGGTGAGTGTGTTGAGGAATACCAGGAAAATCACGAGCCAGTAGAAAACGTTAGACTTGACCGCAGCACGGCACTTTCTTCTGCAGAACCGATTCCACCGGCGCCAGTAGCGACTGCGAGGGGGAAGGAGAGAGGATGGGTGGGAGTGGTAAAATATCAGATGCTCTTGACTTGCAACTCACCTCGGTGCCTTCCTTCCAACTTGTGACTGCTCTGGAGCAGAGCAAGCCAATGATGAGGAGACAGCGCTGCCCATCCAATGGGCTGGCTCTGACACTTCCAATTAGTTCTATTATCTTGAATACACTCCTGATATTCTCTGAATAGCACCATCCTCATAGGGTTTTTGTGGGGTTTTGAACAATACCATATAATGTCTCTGGCATAAAACTAAAGGCCCTCAATAAATGGAAAAGAGTTTTATTATCTAATAATGGCATTAGCATTAAGAGTGTTATTAATATCAGTGGTAGTGGTCATAATAGACTTGTTCATGGCAATCACTTTCACAACTTCATCTCTCGCAGGTACCAACCACATCAGGCACTTCTCATGCCTTCTCTCTACCCTTTTACTAACTCAGCAGAGCAGATAATGTGTTTCAAATGTGTCGAGGAGGAAACAAAGCTCAGAGAAGATGAGTAACTTAATCAAGAATCAATTACATAGCAGTGTTTTGCTCTTGTCCCATACTCCATGCTGTTCAAGCCAGAAAATATAAAGGTTAAGAATATATGTCAGAGGTTCTTTGCTTCTTCAGAATCTTTTGAGAATTTGAGGAATGTGTAGACCTCCTGGGCAGAAAAACAGAAACATTCACACATACATGCACCTTTCACACATAAATTCATGCACTCCATGGTTCCCAATGTTCAGTCATGGCCTAATGAGCCTCTGCTTCCATAGCTGGGAAACTTTGTCAATGATTCTCCAGCCTGGATGTTCCCGGGAGAACTATAAACAACCAACCAACTCACTAGCACTCAGAAACCAATTTGCTCTGAAGCCAACTAAATCTGTTCTTTGGGAGTGTAACTTAGTCCTAGGAATTTTTAAAGCTCCATCAATAGGTCTAATATACAGCTATGGATAAGAAGCATTATCTTGGATAATCTCCTAGGATTCTGTGATTCTTTGATGGAGGGGTTTGCAGCTTGATGCTCATGTCATCCTCTTGAGATAGAGAACTCGTATAGTTTCTACGGTATGACTTGGGTGGCCATAAATTTATTTAATAAATGGCTACACTGTGCAAAGGAGACAATAATGCTGGAGAAGAATTCTGGAGGCAGCATACAGAGTCATGCTAAGGACTTTGAGAGGCAGACTAACATGATTGTACTTGAAAATCCAACTAGCCACTACTGACCAACTCTGTCAACTTCTCGATCAGGGATGGCAGGACATGCTCAGACATCTGAGTTAGGGGAAAAGAAGACACTGAATTGGGAGTAGTTTTAGAGGTCAAATCATCAGGACTATGACTTTGATTGACTGTATGTAGAGGATAATAGAGAAAGATATGGAAAACATTGCTAAAATTTCTAGCTGAGTAACTAGTTAGTGTGACACCTTTAATCAAGGTAGATACAGAGGAGGAGAAGCAGGCAGAGCAGCCAGGAGGAGGAAGATGGTGATTTATCTTTGGAAATGCTGGAGCACATCATGATTGTCGAGATATTCCCCAGGCAGTTGAAGATGGAGCTCTGTTTGGGTAGCAAACAAGGTGAGAGAGACAAAGGGGAATCTTAGAGCATGAGTTGTTTATGAGCATCTGTCTCTTTCAAGAAAATGACCTCTTTTTCACAAATCTTCCCAGTCTAGATGGACACACCTCTAAATAAGCCTGCGGGACTTGCCTTAGAGCAGTCTTTCAAACCTTACACTGCTACCCATTAGTAGGTCATGAAATCTATCTAGTAGATCCTGATGGTCAATGGAAAGGAAAAAGGAAGAGAATAAAGCAGAGCAGAATATAAAATTCCAGTGTGCGGCATAATATAAAATATAAAAGCAAGATACAGAAGTGTTTTATTTTTTAAAACAAAACTTGTTTAAGGTGAGTGTGTGTGCACGTGTGTGTGTATGTCTGGGTACATATTGTTTCAAGATATGATATGTACTTATTATTGTGGATTGTAGTTAAAAAAGGGCAAAAGATCATGAAAATTGGTGTTCCACTTTGGGGTTTGATACTGCAAATTAGAGTTCACAGCATGAGTCTGTGACTTCCATCCTCTGCTCAGGGACAATCACAAGGTCTTCAAGATTTCCTCGGTAGGGTGCCTTGATGGAGCAGAATTCTGTTTGTGTGAAAATGTAATTCTGCATGTGACAGATCTATCTGCGTTCCCTGGGTTAAGGAATACGATATGCAGTGAGGCTTAAAGTGGGCCAAGTATTTTACAAGTTCTGCCCATCAGCCTACGTGCCTTCTTCCAGAGAAGATATGGCAAAAATCACCACCAGGATGTTAGCTAATCCTTGACCCAGTGTGTTCCAAACAAACAAACAAACAAACAAACAAACAAACAAATGCCATTAAGTCAATTACAACTCTCCAACTCTATCGGTTGCAAAGCCCTGTGACTCTACCAGGTTTTCTTAGCTGTAGTGTGTATGGTGGTTGACCTCTGGGTCCTTTTTCTGTGGTGCTGCTGGCTGCGTGAAAACTGTTAACCATTCGGATAGTAGTCTAATGCACACCCAGCAGTTTGTCCCACATAAAGACCTCCAGGATGGTAGGGACAACTAGAATTCAGAGTTACCAGGGACGTAAACCTCTGTACCTTTTAAATTTCAATTTGAGAGCACGTGACTTCATCTGTATTTCAGCTCTGTCATTTTCCTACTTTTGGGGTGTCATTTTTCTACTATATTTCTTCATAGTTTGGGCAAATCTCTGTTACCATTCCCCCCCCTAAAATCTGTTATAAGTGAAGACTTCATTAAGAAAGGGTTTTATTGCCGTTGTTATAATTTCTTTTTCCTTTCTCTTGAGAATGTAGAATTTGGTTTACAGAACACAGGAGAAGGAGATTCATTTGTGTAGTGCTTTTTTCTTATTGGATCCTTACTTTAAGTATTTGAGCCTCAACAATGAGGAACAAATCTTTACACAGGACATCTACTACATGAGAGAATTCACTACAAACAGAAGAAATGCCCCTGAGTCAGAAACCTATGAACTGCAAACACTTTTGGATGCTAGTATCCTCTAGAATATCCTGGATGAAAGCAAGGATGAGGGAGGGCGAGACAAGTGTAACAGCAATGAGGGAAGTCCCATGTGAGCTGAAGCTGCAGGGAGCCCCTCGAGTTTGCCAGAGCTCAGCATTGAGGGGTCTGCTCTTCGCAAGGCAGGGCTCTCTTTCTTTCTTGATATTGTGATTATTAACATTGTAGAAAAAAAATGCCAAACCCAAACCCTACAGCTATCTAGTAAAAAAACACCACCTACTGCTATTGAATGCTATTTCAACTCACAGAATCCCTTCTCCAGGTTTCATGGGAGGAAGACTGCTCATCTTTCTCTTGAAGAGGGGCGGTAGATTCGAACCACTGATTTTTCACATTAACATTGCAGAGACCTTTTTATGCCCCTGGAGAGTGAATTTTCAGGACCGTTTCATACCCAATTGTAAACAGCTTATGTTGTAGTCTCAAAGAACACATTTTAGATACAATTTTACATTAGAGAATTACTGTTAACTTTTATGTAGAGTTAAGTTCTCAATCTTGCTCCCTTTTACAGTATAAAAGAACAAGCCTGGCATTAGATTAACACGGGCACTTGGTTAGGTCTCTCATTCTCCACGTTTGGAGCAGTGGCTGTGGTGCCACTTGGTCAGGGCTGTCTTGTGGGTCTGTGAGCCCTTGAAGGAGTGAGTGTGACAGGCAGGATGGCACCCCATTAGATCAAGCTGCTCCTGGGTACAACCATTCACGGAGTCACATGGATTTGGGCTGGGGTGGGGGTGGGGTAATTACTATCCAGGGAAAGTATTTAAAGATAATTACACACCTCCTACTCTTCAAAATATAGCTGTGCTTGACAACTGGTTTCCTGGCAACGCTTCCTACTGTATAATAAATGTAATAGTTTATTAGAATGTGTAAATTTATTTGTGTGTTTACATATTCATGGAGGATATAGAAATTAAATGATAAAACAGGGAGGAGAAATTTGCCTGCTACTCATGTTCCTTTCACATTAAATGGAAAAGTGCTTGCTCTAGAAATAGAACCTTCCATATGTAGACACAGGAGAGGAGGATAAATATGAATGCTCCTAATCTACTTCTCTAAACTTCACCACCAGTGTATTCTCACGGGCAACCCCTACTCTTTCACCTTTGGGTTGTCTTGGCCCTTTCTCAGTGTTGGGATTTGTCCTCGTCGTCTTTCAGCCTATGTGGAATGTCCTTCCACCGACCAGGATCTCCACCTTCTGTGATTCTGTCTCTGTGTCCTTCCATGACTATAAGGTCAGCTCAAGATCCTGCATGACAAATTCTTCTAGTATCCCCAGCCCTAGAACTTCTTTAGTATATATTCCATGCAATACTCATTTTAGTTATGCGTTCAGGAAATACGTAACATTCATCACAGGTTAAATAACTGGATATTCAACAGTTAACACAATGGACACAACTTAGCTGCATAAGATTTTTATAGAGGTGCTCACTGGTGAGACAGTAATGATAAGAATTGTGCTTGGCATTACGTTGGGGATTAATACAAGTGTGGCTGGAGCACACCTAAGGGCATCTTCGTTGGTCTTAGAGCAGACCGAGGTTGACTAATTGTTTTTAAAATGTTGAGGTGGTTTTTGCTTCCCCAATAAAATAATATGATTCTTGAAGGAAAAGGAATGTCTCATACTTTGTTCAAAACCTATAGTGCCATCTCACACAATAAGAGAACTTTGGTGATAGCATGGTTGAGCTATCTGGTTGAACTTGAAGACAAACTCTGCACAAACTTATTAACATTCTGATGACAGGGCTTTAAAGCCCTCAGCCTCTTATGACCCAGCGATGTGGGTGGATAGTGATGAGAGAGCAATGCTCTTGACGTAGCTGACAGTAATCAAGAATAGTGGACAAAGTAAAAATGGTGAACATTAAGGCTCTTACAAGTTGGTAGATGAAATCTCCATCTTGAAAAGAACTGAGGGCAAACAACTTGGAAAATAATTCTAAGTAACTAACTTAAAAGTGGACTGCTGGATATTGGGCCAATTAGAATTTATGCCTTGTTGCTATGGCATGGCAGAAGGAGATATTGGAGACATATTTCACTGGTATGACAGTGTTCTTAGTATTATAACCTTATGGGCTTCACTTCAGAAAGTGAATTCACCTCTGTAAAGTCAAGGGACGGAAATCTCAACTGCACAGGTTCTCTGACTAATCCCTTCACACTGCTAAAGACTTTTCTCTTTGTTCCATAATTACTTCAGTTCTATTCTGAGCAGTGAGTTCCAGATGTTAAAAAATGCCTTATTTAACTAATTCCTCAATGCAGAGATTGGTTTGATATTGTTCTGATATTCTAAGTTAACCAATCTGCCAAGTTACTGTAAAAGCTCCATTCTTACATTGCTTGTAAGAAAGTTGTTTATTTGTGTTGTTCAGTTTTTAAATTATAACAGGTCAATTGAAGATTAAATATTCTGGCTACAATGACAAATATTTACATAATAGCTAAAGTTCTCTCTCTCTCTCTCTCTCTAATCTGTTGAAGTCTTAACCCATAAGACTTGACCCATAAATATGACCCAGGTCAGAAATATGATTTTCCTTTTTATGTTAATGAGGCCATACAAGTGTGGTCTGGATCCTAAACCTCATCCTTTGAGTGGTGTCTTAACATAAAAAGACAGAACAGACACCAAGAGAGACAGATAAAAACGAGGAGATGCCATGTGACAATGAAAGCAGGTGCATTTATACATAACAAAGGAAAACCCAGGATTGCCACAGACACTAGAAACTGGGAGAGAGGCCCATCAAAGGAATTAACATAGCTGAGACTCTGATTTAAGACTTTCAGCCGCCAGAACTGTAAGAAAATGAATTTCTGCCCTTTAACGCCCCACCTAGTTTTCACTATTTTGTTGCAGCAGCACTGGGAAACTAAGATATCTCAGGGCTAGACAGTTTGCAAAATCACAAAGCTGAGTGGAAACTCCAGGGGTTTAGGGTCACCATTGTTCTCTCTTCTTCAGATGCACAATTCATGCCATAGAGCACTGGGTAAGAATGTCCCAGAGGCTTCTGGAGGACTTCCCGATGAGGGCAAATCTATACAGCTATGTAATTCTCTCTTCCCTCCAGATCATGTTCATTTAGTCACTCGTCACTCACTTCCATGTAATGAGAACATTTTAAAAATGTTTTCAGATGTATTTTTATATACCTTCACTCTTAGGTTCTGCAGACTTCATACTGCTTGGGGACTGTTAAAAGTTGGGAACAGAGTGTTTGGCTGTTAGATTAGATATTTGAGGAACTTTCTTTTTATTCTTTTTTTCTTTGAGTAACTTTCAAGCCTATTGTCTCTTAAAGGAAGAGTACTCATTATTCAGCAAATGTATATTAAATTCCAATTACATCCAAGGTACTTCTTCAAATACTGTAGATAATAGAGGCAAAAGCCAAGTGTTTTTGAGAGAGAAAATTATTTTTTTAAAAATTTGTAAACTAAATAAACTAGTAGAAAATAAAGAAAAATTATAGAACTCTCTTTCAATGTCAAAAGAGGTCTATACCCTATTTTGAGAGAATAAGGAAGGGGATATAATATGAGAATTGCCTATATAACATTGATAGTCAGTAGAATATGGGGGAAAGGAGTGAAAAGGTCAAATAGAAAGTCAGATGCCAGAGTCCCAGTTTAATTCCCAACCACTTGGAGGCCAAGTCTCAAGGTGTTACAGGGAGGTGTTTTAGAAATATCCATAGTCATGGGTCTAGAATGTTGCCTTCAGTGGGTGCAGCATCAAAGTGTCTGCCAGCTCTGGGGAAATTCCAGCCTTTAGCTTAGAGTTCTCTCCAGGGTGGTGCAGAGTCAATGATGGGGCCATCAATGCAGGGGTCATCATTCCTCACAGTTTGTTCATGGCATGCTAGGAACCTGGAAATTTCTATGACCTCAGCAGAGGTGTGGAGGTACTAAAGCTAGTGGACCAACAGAGCCTTAGGGTCCAATAATAAAGGTGGAGATTTCAAGATCAGAGGCAACTTTTATGACTTCATGGACTGGTATGGTGGATGCCCATCAAATGAACTGCAGCAGATAACAGTCCTGGAAGCTACCACATGATAGAGAAAACCAAGGGTCCAAAGACTCAAAAGGTTCAAGGACCAGTCTTCACCAAGCCCTTTTTACTTCCTGGAATCTTGAACACCCTCACCTCCATTTATCCAGTTCTCATCCTAGTAAGTGCATGAGGAAAAGGAGATTTAGACACTACAAATTTTATCTTAAAGGATTAGTTAATATACAGCTTTAAGTAAAGGATAAAGTCATAAAGCCTTATTATAACTAAATGTCTCAATAAAACTCAGTTCTTGCTGAATTAAATTATCGGCTTTTTAATTTCTTACCTACCTACCTGCTTTGGGATTCCATGTTTACCCTAGTTGTATTCAACAGAATCAATGTGTCCTTTTCACAAGTTCCTGTCAATTAGCCACTTTAATTGTTAGAACTAACAAGAATTTCCCCCCCCACTCTTGATAATTAAGTCAGGATGTTGAAAAAGAAACACTCCAAGAAAAGGAAACTTGATACAATTGTCTTTTTCTATAAAGTGACTCAAGTAATATTTCTTTATGACTAGTACATAATAAAGAGAATTAATTGAAAGGGTCTGAGAGTGGGTCTTATCTAAAGTTATCTAATAAGTTATTTCTGGGAAATGAGGTCCAGGTACCAGAATGGTTATAAGACATTTCTTAAGATATCTGTTGAAATTTATTTAAATTATCAACCAGAGATGTGTTATGATCCCATCAGGATGGGTATGTAACTATGCTTGAAAACCTCTGTAATTTGTTCCTGAAATCAATCACAGTGATCCTTTAAACCCAAATACTCAGTCAAAACCCATTTCCAGCCTCTAAGCCATCTTCCTTTTGACTTGAATCAAAGACTAACCAGTCAAACAACTGTATTATAATTTCTTTGTTCTCTGGAGTATACATTATGCCTTTGTTGGAAGTTCTTTAATTGGAGTCATCACTTCTCATTTATATCGGCTGGTGTCTTTCTGTATGCAAATGTCCCTTTTCCTTTCTTTTCTGAGTAAATGCTCTTAGAGGAGTGCTTGTGGCAGAGTCTACAGAGAGTTACCCTGCTAACCCAAAGGCAGCCCTTACTGACATTCAAATTCACCAGTGAGCAACTTCCTCCTATGTCATTTACAGCCTCAGAAACTCACTGGCTAGTCTTAATTTCATTTTAAGAACTCAGTAGGGTGTTGTGCTTTTTGTGTGTGTGTGTGTGTGGTTTTTTTTTTTTTTTTAAATAATGCTAGTTAGACTAAACCTTTGTGTATTTATTCTTTTACTACATAATAGGTGAATAGAAAGAAGCAATATCGGATTGTTGTTGTTATTGTTATGTGCCATCGAGTCGCTTGCAACTCATAGCGACCCTATGTACAACAGCCCTAAACTCCTCTCTGCCCTGTGCCAATTGCACCATCTCCGATACACCCATCCCAATTGCCCCAGTCACTGAATCAATCCACCTCATAGAGTGCCTTCCCCTCCTGTGCTGTCCCTCCACCCTACCAAGCAAGATGTCCCTCTCCAAGGACTGGTCCCTCCTTACAACATGTCCAAAGTATGTTAGACGGAGCCTCAGAATCCTTGCCTCCAAGGAGCCACCTGGTTTGACCCTTTCCAGGATGAATCTGTTTGTTTTCCTAGCAGTCCATGGTACCCTCAATACTCTGCTCCAGCACCACAGCTCAAAGGCATCAATTCTCCTTCTATCCTCCTTAGTTGTTGTCCAGCTCTCTGATGCATAACAAGTGATTGCAAAGAAAAAGAAAACAACTGAAAATTGTTTGGTCTGTAAAAGATCAAAGAGCATAAATTCACAACCCTGCTACACATAGCCATCCATTCATTCATTCAACATTCACTGATTGACTCCACACTTTCCTCCACACTCCAAGTCATGGATTGCCTTAGCTAGTCTTCCCATAACTACATTTTTGGTGCCTACCCCTGAGGCATGCATAGACTAATGGAGGAAACCATTCTACAAACAATTAGATTGCACTATGGTAAATGTTAGATGCATGAACAGAACACTAGAGAATGGGGGTAGGAGAGTCTGCAGAAGTCATCATAGATTCAATATTATCTGATATACTTTTTTAACAAAATCTGAATTCTTTAGATGAAGACATGACGATATACAGATTCAGGCAAAGACAAAAAAAAAATTTAAACAACTGCAAGAAGTTCAATATGATTGGACCAAATATGTTCCACATGGCTGATGTGGAGAAGGGGAGGCTATAAAATCAAACTGGGGATTGAAGACCACTGGAGTCATGTGGAAGGATTATCTTAGTGTTCTATAAACGTGAAGCAGGTAACAAGATTCACATAATGTTTATCTTAGTTGAATTTCATTATATACATGATAGAGGCAGATTCAATTTTATAATCTCTTAGGAATGGTGTTGCCAAAAGGAATTATAGATAATTTAACAGATTGAATTATTTGCCTCCGTAAATCTAGCTCCATTTCTTGGAGCCTCCTATTGTTACTATTACTATTTTAAATTATGATAGATATAAACGTATGTAACAAAACAAATGCTATTTCAACTATCTCCACAGGTACAGTTCAGTAAAAATTCTGTTCATCATGTTGGTCAATCACCACAGTGAATCATTCTGAAATTGTTGACAGCCACACAAAACAAAAGCAGTTACTCCCTTAACAAAACACTGACTATTCTACTTCCACCGGCCAACTGGTAGATACTACCTTGAACCATCAACGAGGGTGGCAGAGGGTAGAGGTGGGGTGTGGGTGGAATGAAGAACATCGCGTATCTCACGTACCTGAACTTTGATTTGGAGATGCGGTGCCTGAAAGAGAAGAAGGAATCATTACCAAATAACATACGTGCATGTTCTTCCATTAAAAGATGTTTAGCAAGTCTAGGGCGGTTCAATGTTCCTTAGTAACAATATATGTGCACTGGAAGGATGTGGACTAGAAGGATACCACACATGTATTAGAACAACTTTGGATGGAGGAACCCTAGTCATCAGCATCTCCTTGTCTATGTGTGTATTTGAATGTGGAAGCAGAGAACTGGCCTGGCTGTTAAATCTACAAATTGTAATGCTACTAAGTATTAGTATTAGTATTAGTATTAGTATTAGTATTAGTATTAGTATTAGTATTAGTATAAGTATTCTCTCCTCGGGAAGGGATAAATAACACAGTGTTCTCAGATGATCAGGGTCTGCCCAGCACGTTCTACAAGGTCATGATATGAAGACCCAGGGTAGGAAAAGCTGTATCTTGTCTTACCTCTGGAGGGCGGGGGGGAAAGCCTTAGAAGGAAGGTATGTCTCTCTTGAAGATGAGAACATCTCATCAGTGGAAAAATCCTGGTCAGATGTGTCTGTACAGGAGCCTGGCCTAAACTAGGTTATGAAGTGAAGACAGAGCTTAAGGAGCCATTTGGAAATGAAGCCATAATAATATTGATCAAAGTGTTGTAAATGAGGCTTAAAGACATAGCCCAGGATTTTGCCAGGCATGTGAAGTCTGAGATTTGGGGGCAGAAGTGCAGAGTGGCTACCTTGATGGTGACTGTGTGAGGAATAGCTTCCCATTAAAGGCAGGCCTGTGGACAACCTGGTTTATACATGGAAGGTTAGGAGGCAGAGGCAGAGAAGAGCATCAGAGAGCCAAAACCAGATCTGATGGCACCACTCCATTCTCCATTTACAAAGGCTTTGGGACTGACAGAAAGGAGTGGTCATGAGAGGGATTTCAGGTGGAACAAGCAAGACTAAGACGGACCTGCAGAAGGACACAGCATGCAAAACAGAGCTGAAGGGACGGATCCAGATGCCGAGAGCAGGGAGGAGCAGAAGCTGGGGAGGCAGCTCAGGAGGCAATGGTGCCTGCTTGCATTGCTCCAGTTCTGCTCAAAGCGAGCTGTGTTCCAAAGGAAGAACACACCAACCCCTCTCGTTACTTTTTATTTAAAAAAAATTAAACCAGAAGATGTGACAGGTGGCAAAGCCATCGTGCATGAGATAATTATATCTCTGGGGCACTGAGGATCTGAGCCAAGTGCCTTTACTGCTCAGAACTGTTAACTAATAACCTTTTCCCACCCCCAAAGACTGCCTGCTAGGGCTGGAGGGCTTAATCACATGTTAACAAAGGGAGTGGGAGGGGGATTGGGCGCCAAATGCAGAATTTTATTTAGAGCCACAGTTTAATAGGGGAAACAAATGCTTCCCAGCTGCTAATTGGGTGCTGGGGAAATCCTGGGTGCCCTCCACTCCAGCAGGGCCATGCTGAGCTTGGGACCTTCCCTGAGATTGTCTCTCTGCCTCATTGTTAAACATAAACAAAAGGTGATGACCATCATTTTCTGTCCGGGTAGTCTGTCTCCACAGTCAAGCCCCAGCCCTGGCCCTGTCTCAGAAATGTTCCAGTGATTCTCTGGGAAGTGCCTTTCTATTGATACCATTTGTCTTTCCTTGTAAAGTTGTCTCTCACGCCAGGTTTTAAGTAAATGTGAGTTCCCAAATGGGAAACCTCAGTCTGAGTAGTCACTTCAGTCTAAGAAAGGGCTTCTGAGAGATAGACTCAAGGAAGGGTTAAGGATGGGTGTTTGAGAGGAAGTCCGAGTTCAAGCATGGTTATGGAGAATGAGGGTTGTTGGGTGTTTCCCCCCCCCCCTTAGATTTTAGCACATTCTGAGCAGGAGAAAATGGAATACGACCCTTTTCTTAATCATGCTATGGCTACTGTTCTTATCAATATGGATACTACACTTGTAACAAACTGATTTTATTGCTGTTCTCTGAGGGTCATGAGCATGAATTTGATTTCACTCGTTCTGAAACATTCCGCCTTTATATAAACTGGTAAATCTCTTCTACATAATCAACAGAAGTGTTAGTAACCATAATCCTTAAGAAGGTAGGAAGTATTACTCAAGTGGCATTTGTCTGAACACTAAGAAAAACCTTACGTCCTTAGAGAGCTGGGATTAGAATTCTTGTAGCGTGAAGACCTTGATTCTTCAGTATGCTTGTTATCTAGGGGAAGGCCACCTGCAGAAACCTACTTGAGGGAAACAGATAGACATCCCTCTTTCCCTCCTAGGTAGTCCTTCACCTCCTGGGTGGTGACCATTGGCCAGTGTTTGGAAAGCTGCTCGGCTCCAGTGAGAAAACCAGCTAGAGCACATGTGTTGGTGTAAGGAACCATGGTCTCACTCTACTCCTAGAGTCTAATTTACACAAGGCTGCATATTTATGACAAACACTCCCATCCACTGGCTTTTTTTAAAAATTTTTAATTTTAGTGAAGGTTCACAAAGAGATTGGTTTTCATTCATTCATTCTTTCATCCATGGTTTTTCTCCCTCCTCTTCCTCCAATTTTCTTTATAATGTTGCCCCATTCTAGGCTATTAATTGTCATATACATAATTTATAATCATCCACTCCTTTCAGATTGTCCTTCCTTTCACCCATTCCAGTCCAGTGTTCATTATTTATCCATTGTTTTCTGTGCCCCCCTCCATTATCGATCTTATTACAACAATGGGCTTTAATGTGGTATTTAGTCCTTTTGTGACCAAGATATTTTACTCAGCATAATGTCTTCCAGACTCATCCATGTTGTGTAGGGTTTTATAAGTTCACTGTCTTTTAAGCTGCTTCTAGTTCCTAAAATCCCTCAGAAAATCAGAGGTCTCCAGTTCCTCCAACCCATGAGGCTATTCTTTCACAGCTTGCTCAGGTTTCTTGGCTTTGCCCATCGTTATTATTCTAGTGAGGGCACAAATCGTGCCTGGTATGTTACGTTTCATTACTAAGGAGAACTTGGAGAAGAAAGTTAGTAATTAAAACACAAGACCATCAGAACAAGTCCACTTGGTTGGGTCCAAAGTTCATTCAACACAGAACATATTTTTTTTTCTTTCTTTTTCTGACCAGGTCTCCAAGACAAACCTTCTCCAAGATCATGGTTTTTTTTTTTTTTTCTCTGATATTAAAGTTCAGAGTTAGAGACAACCGCACAAATTCTTTCTTTTTTCTGTCAGTTACTCAGTTGCATTTGTCATTATTTGACAAATACATGCACTTTTGGGGAGCTATTTATATTTTCAGTCTCTACCCCCTTCTTACAGTAATGAGCACCATATGTTTACTACCTGCTGTGTGAAATACTATTTCCCTAACTTGTCCCAAATTTGCCTTTAATATATGTCAGATGGCACTGCAGTCAACCATCCACCATTCACGTCGACATGTCTGACTCAGCCTCGTTAACTCCATGACTTCATCACCACCCACAGCTATTATTACTAGGAAGGGTCAAGTCCTGGACCTTGTCATTACATAACATTGCTTCAACTCCTAGGTGCTGAACTGAGTATTCCACATCTCTGAACAGATCTTTTCCAGATCCTCCCAATCACTCACCCTCTTCCAAGACCTCTGATTAACACTAGACTTGATCCCTAGTTCACAGCTGGGCCCATCGTCATGTCAACAGTACCCTCAATGCCACGTAGACTGCCGCACCACCTGGGCCTTCTGTGAGGCTTGCATGGCTAAAGTCTCAACCTGGTTCAGATCACTGTCATGTTTTAGAGCTCCTAGGATCAGAGCCTGTAAAAAATATATCAAACTGTTCTTTGAGGCAGATTGCACATTTATGATGTCAGTTTCCATGGTGGCTTGGCCCTGCTCAGCAATCTTTTAGTGACCTCTCACTGACTCACAAGTTTGAATCATCTGTACTGTTTTTCAAGTTCCTATAAATTGCACTGGGAAAGTCAGCTGTGAGTGACCTCTCCAGAGTACTGAAGAGCAATGATGTCAGGCTGGAAACTAAGGTGTGCCTGATCCAGGCCATAGTCTTTGCAATTGCATGCTATGTGTCAGAAAGCTGGACAGTAGCTAGGGATGATAGAAAGAGAACTGATGCCTTTGAGCTCTGGTGCTGGAGAAGAGTGTTGAATATATCATGGAATGCTAGGAGAAAAAACAGTTTTGTCCTGGAAGGGGTGAAACTTGGCTGCTCCTTGGAGGCAAGGATTCTGATGCTTTGTCTGACATACTTTGGGCATGTTTCAAGGAGGGACCAGTCCTTGGAAAGGGATGTTATACTTGGGAGGGTGGAGAGACAGCCCAAGAGAGGAAGATCCTCAATGAGATGGATCAATTCAGTGTCTAGGGTAATGGCAGTAAGTGTGTCAGAGACAGTGAGGTTGGCACAGGACAGAGCAGGGTTTAGGGCTTTTGTACATAGGGTCGCTATGAGTCACAAGCGACTTGACAGCACATAACAACAACAACAACATGATGCACAACGATCACTTTCTGTGATGAGGTAACTGAGATAATTTCGCATGACTCCCCTTGCTAATTCTCTTCACTGAAGTTTTGAGGACTCTAGGCTTTGAGAGTTGGGAGGGACCCTTAGATATCACCCGGGTCTGTGGTTCCTGACTTTTAAGTTGTAGAGTGCTTCATTCATATGACATTTCACATGCAAATCAAATATAAAAAAGATGTTAAAGTGGTCTCCTTATGTCGTAGCCCTCGCAGGTGGTCCTCTGAACTCCAGGGCTGTACTGAGGGCACACTGCAGTCAATGGTGAGTCTAATTTTCCTGTTTCTTAGGATTGAAAATTAGAGCAGAGTGCTCCAGCCAAGGTCACACAACTAGTTGGTGGTTAACTTTGAACCCAGGACTCCTGAGGCCATGTCTATTTTTACCTAGTCTCAGAGGTTCTCAAGGGGAACTCCTGCTCCCTGTGTAAAGCCATGCCTTAAAGTTGTGTTCCTGAAAACTATTTTCCCTCTCCTTAAGCAATTTCTGCCTAAACTCACCTCCTTCCTCCCTGGCTTCTCCCTTACTGGCTTTTTTATTGTCTTAGTCTTCACTATGTTGGAAAACAATCCTTCACTTGTCTATCCTTCTTTCCTCTTAATATTGTCTAGTTTCCTCTTCTTCTTTTCCTGGTCTAATTTTTCTCCCATAGTTAATGTATTCTTGAGTCTACGAGAGAATGGCTCCAGAATACACAATGATCCATTCACTTCTTTCCAGCTCTACTATCATGACCCAGTTACCACCAGCACACTTGGGTAACTGCTACAGTTGCTTCATGTCCATTCCTGTTACTCTACTGGGCCCCTTTCTACTCATTCTCCATACATCAAAGTGATGTTTCTGGAATACAAACTAATTGCATAAATATCCTTACTCTGTTCAGTATACTTGAAGCCCTTCAAGGATTTCTTACACTGTTATCTCATAAAGCTCCACCCAACCTGGCTCAGTCTCTAATTTTATCTCCCTTACTCATCCAGGAAGAGTGCCAACTGTCATTACAAAGACAGAAGAGGAAGAAAAGACCAAAATGGATGTCAGAAGAGACTCTGAAGATTGCACTGGAGCATACAGAAGCAAAAGCACAAGGAAGAATTCAAGATACTAAAGAGCTGAACAGAAGATTCCAAAAGGCTGCTCGGAATGACAAAGCAAAATACTACAATGAAATGTGCGAGG